CATCTATCCTCGATTACAAATCAAAATGCAGATGCGTTGACACCCGTAAGGACTAAGATGGAAAGCCTCGTTTCCAGTAAAAAAGTGTCTCCGGTTCTCTACACTCATCATACGAAACAAAGCAGCATTAAGCTACTATTTTAATCTGGTATTCTGTGAGAGCGTCGTCGTTCCCCGGTCGAGCCGACTCATTCGTGCTACAACTATACTACTAATAATATAACTGCTGCATGGCTCTACCACGTGTAAATATTATAAGCTTTATATTTTATTTGAACATTGGTATTTTTCAAGAAATGCTACAAAACACGGCTCTAAGCTATCTGCATCTTTCTACTTCATGTAAATCTTTCCATATCTTTACTCCATCTAATGGGGGCCACCCTACACTTATTTTAGAATAAATAGGTAAAATTATTAGAGTTTTTTTATCAGGCCTTTTTGACAATAATAAGATGTTACATATAATTAATAATGGTGTTTCAATTCAATTGCAGACATTTGTTATTACAATTGCCTATTTGTGGTTAGCAACGCACGTACTACACTTTATGTGGCTAGGTGCAAACTCGACAGGAAATAGGGTAATGATTTTATTATATAATAATTCGAATAAAATCTATTTCTCATTAATTATGCTCATTTTAATTCCCGTTTCGAGAGCTGTGAGAGGGTGCTACATGCTGAATTAAATGCGATAAAGTCATAAAAAAGTTGTTTTATTCAGTTAAATATAAGGAAGGTAGTTACTACAGTTAGTAGCTACCGTAGTCAGTAGTCATTATGTAAAAAGTCAAAATGATCTTACCAATAGTGACTGCATAATTATCGGTAAGTTAATCAGTGTGGAAGGAGCGAGCCATCTCGTATTCGTAAGGTATTCAAAATAAAAGCTCAATAGTGGGTATCATTGGACCGTTATCCATTTTAAACGTGAAAATTGGCCGACATATTGTGCACACAAAATTAATGTCAGGGCGCCGATTGTTTGACCAAAGATCTTGCCTGATCTCTTTTGTTGTTGGTCAGTTAATGTCTACTGCTGAGCATGGATCTCTCACGTTATGGAAGGGATTTGCCTTAACATTCACGCTTGTTTCTACTCATTGATACCCAATGAATATGGTCATATATAACCGTGTAGAGGCAGTGTAAGAAAATCTATTATCTCATTACATTCTGTGGATGTCTTAAGAGGCAACAGAGGGAAACTGAGATAGGAGATGTAAAAAAGCATCTTCCTGGTACTCAAAATATTAAAAACTTCGCTCGCCAACCTGTCAACAGAGCGTGACAAATACGGCAAGACCTATGTTTGGTAGTGGTTTGATAGGCTGTAATGGAATATGGTCTAACCAAAATACATAAGTAATAAAAATATAACTAAAATACATTAAGTGTGTTATTTAGACCTATTTGTTACCTGTTGCTATGCATCCCTCAGCCATGTACAGGCGCAACGCATTAAACTCCATCAAGCCGTGTAATGTGATAATCTCCGTTACGCAACCACAGACATTGCATTAATAATGCAATGTAATTGAGACGCACGGACGGACTTTGATTGGTAGGGCTATGACGTTTAGTTAGGCAAATATACTTGTAGTTAATTGTAAGCTAATACGTGCACATCCCAATGAAAGAGTACGTACGAATACGTAGTTTTATTTGGCTTCCAAAATGGCAGTAATATCTCAAGGGCTAAGTTCCCGCTGTAATTGTAAAATTGTAAAAGACCACGATTTCGGCGGTTAAAGAAAACATCTTGAGGAAACCTGCATGTTTGAGAAATTAAATGTATATAAAAATACTTCAAAGACACTTGAAGTTCGCAAGACCACGTCTCAGTTCCATAGGTTATCACTGGCAACACGCACTGGTTGTATACTCTCGTTTTCTGGTTTTAAGATATAGCTGACGAGAAGATGCGTCGTAATTTTCTGAACGCTGCCCAGCCGAGTTGGATCCGTCAATTGAGATCTCGGTCGAAGTTGGACTTACCAAGTCAGACTATTTGTCCCAGGTAAACGTACTCGTCAACAACTTCGAGCTTAGTGCTCCCAACAACTACCCGCATAGGTGTGACATGGACATTAAACATGATCTTTGTTTTGTCCATGTTCATCTTAAGACCTATCCGTTGGGAGGCACTATTGAGGTCATTGAGCATAGTGCTTAAGTCCTCTAGCGATTCTACCATAAGGACTATATCGTCGGCAAATCGAAGGTGAGTGGTTTACTCACCATTGATATTAATACCGTATCTTTTACAGTCAAGTAGCTTGAAAACGTCTTCCAATGCAGAGGTGAAGAGTTTCAGGGATATAACGTCACCCGGTCCTACACTTCTCTGCAGTTGGATAGGTTTCGTGCTCTGATTCTGTACTCGGATAGCCATAGTAGCCCTACTGTACGAACACTTCAGCACTTCGATATACCGACAGTCAACTTGCACCGCTGAAGGGACTGTAGCACCGTCCAAATTTCGACGGAATCAAAGGCTTTCTCATGGTCCATATACGCCTGGCAAAGTGGCAGATTGTGCTTTTCGGACTTCTGTACAATTTGCCGAAGGGTATGTTTGTGGTATATTGTGCTATAACCTTTTCGGAAACCAGCTTGTTTGGAAGACTGGAAGTCGTCGACTCTGCGTGCGAGACTATTCGTAATGACTCTAGAAGAACAAGACCACCGCACGTCTGCTCCACGCCTGGAAAGTAGTGCCACCATTGAGGATGGAATTAAAGAGCTTCTTAAGGACTTCAAGTATCAGTTTTTGACCCGCTTTCAGAAGCTCCACTGTTATTTCATCCTCGCCCGGTACTTGCCGTTTTTAAAGTGCTGGAGAGCCATTCTAATCTCGCTCAGACTTATATCATCATCACAATAGTGTCGGATTTGCTCTTGGATCGTTACTTACACTTGCGTGTGGCTCCAACGATGATGTGTACAGCTGGGCAGCTGTACCCATCATCGTAGCAGTAGCATTATGTGATTTAAAATCAGAAGAGTCGCTCAGACAAAAAATTAAGGAAATCGATATATAAACTCTGTCCTCTCAATATATTTGTGAAAAGGTAACGAACGTACACGAAAATAAAAGTAGTTTTGCAAAAATAAGCGATATTCATTCTGTAAATATTAGGAACAGACAGAAGCTAATGGTACCAGTTACTCGACTCCACCGAGTCAGTAATTTATTCGTGGGGCAATGTATACGCTTTTACAAAAAAATCCCAGAAAATATACAAAATTTGACATACACACAGTTCAAAAACTTTATTAGACTAAGGTTATATAAAAAGGGTTATTAAAATGTTAAGGAATTTATCGATGATAATAACCCCAGGGATGTGTGATCGCTACCAATCTATTTCTAATTTGTTTTGTGTTGCTAATTGTAACATACGTGATTTCAGCTATTATTTGAAAAAAAAAAGAGTCCCGCTGGATTTCTTGCTGGTTCTCCCAGGACAGAAGTTTTTTTTTTTGCAAACCAGTGGTTAATGAAGAAAGTGACTTATATACTTATATTAAGTGACTTATAATATATTGAATTAAAAAGTTTCTGTTACCGTTTCTGTTTTGCAATTCGAGCTGAAAGTTTTCGGGATACCGGATTAGCACACGAGGGGGACGAAGCGTTGACTTCATTAGACGAGACTTCCCCAACTTAACGTTTAAGTTGAGTGTGCCTCTAACCATTCGGTAATCACTGCCAGTTTTTACCATTAGCGATCACTGAGATATCACTGAACAGTTGGCGTCTGGTCGTCATAATGAAGTCAATCTAATTTTTTATCGAACCGTCGGAGCTCGACCAGGTTCACTTCGTATGGGACTGTTTCTGAAAGAAAGAGTTCATCATAAAGAGTCCCTCCAGCCAGCTGCTGGCCTCTTGTGTTCCGTTGCCCTATTCCAAATTTCCTTAACTTTAGCTCACCGCTTTCTCATGTGCCTAGTTTTGCATTGAAGTCTCCCATGAACACCTTATAGTGGGTTTTGGGGGAATGCATGGCTCTAGAGATATCCTCATACATTGCCTCCACCTCCTCATTGAGATGTGCCGAGGTTGGTTCGTATACCTGCATGACCTTTGGCAAATACCGTTGGATGATTCTGAGTATCAGGTACGCGACCATCGTTGACACATTCAATATTTACAACGTTGTTGAGGAGAGACTTGTGGAAGATAAATCCGACACCACCTTGGGACAGATGGTCGCCCTTCCAATGACAGAACAAGTTGCCGGATTTGAGTATTACCGTGTTTTCCCCCCGTCTTCGGACTCAGATAATTATATGCCAGCACAACTTGTTTACCTCTTTTTCCAGTTCCAGTATCTTCTCGTCAGTCCTCAGGGTGCGTGCGTTATATGTTGCCATGTCGAGTATGAGCACCCCCTGCCCTGTCGTTACCATGTTGGCCACCGTAGCCAGGAATAGTGGGGCCGCCAGTGATTGCGAGTCGTTTGTTAGTGTCGAAGTTCATCGCGGGATGTTTGCCATAGTTGCCACGCCTGGCGAGCGGGTTGGAAACCGTAATTTTTTATTGTATAATTATTATTATCACAAAGATGCTGCTGCCCATCTCTTGCCTGCCTCCTCTGTCGCCTCTTACGATACCTATGGGAATATATGGGATAGTAATCTCAACCACCACTACTCGGTTATTAGCATATTAGTATGCAATGTTGTGACAAAATTTCGAAGCAATCGGACATTTACATTATTTCTTTCTATGGATAATGGTAAATACAACACATCACGCGTAAACTCCGGGTCACTTAATTTAAATTATATTCATTTGTCCCCCAGCCAAAGAAGATAATTGTCGGGATGCGAACAAATTTCATTATTTTCCCCTCTCCAGCAAATGAGAAATACTTTCCTCCTTGTGACACAAGACTCCCGCTGTTTGTTGCCTCCGCTAAGTAAAGACGTATTACAAAAACGTTGCTACGTGCACCGGCAGCGCTTTAACAACATGTTTGTCTCGCTTATAGATGCATTGTAGAGATATTAGACGTTATGATTAAATTTTTGTCTAAAATAGCATGCCAACTTTGCAGAGCTGTGAATACATATACGGTAAATTAGCTTCCACGATTTTCTTAATGTGAATTATTGCTTAGCTATGGTACCTGAGAAATCTATAGTTCTCAGATACCATAGCGTAGTTGTGACGTCTTTGCCAAAGTCTCAGCAAAAGAGAGAGACAAGTCCCATGGTACGAACTCGTACGGAGTTTGCCAAGCGCCAATATTACGCGTTGACTTCACGGGTGTATAACAAATTAGGAAATATTCAACATTTACAAAAATTTAATACCTATAAATTAAAGAAATATGTAGAGGATTTTATGTATAAATTAAATTACAAAGATACAGAACACATGATGGAAAGTATAAAGTGAAACGCACACAAGTACACATACACTCACTCACACAATTTTAGTACACTGTAAGTAATGACATGATGACAAGTATGTACAATATAGACAAGAGACATGAAGAGCATTGACTCCTGTAACACAGTTAAAGTGTACCAAATGTAATGTGATTAAATGGTTTTATTATTATTATTATTATTATTATTAATAAAATTCTAAAATTGTTAATTGTGTAACTTTTCCTTATGTGTATGTCAATAAATTATTATTATTATTATTGGGGGGTATCAATATAGTTTTCTCATCTGGTTGGGTTCTATAAATATATAATTATAAATGAATATGAAAAGATAAATATACATAAAAATCAATAACATAAAATAAATATAAAAATACATAAATAAATGAAAGCCCAACCAGATGGATGCCCTCGGCAGGGGAGACCAAACGGACGAGGGTTAGGGGAAACGGAAAGAAACCGGCGGACGATGCACGCGGTATCGAGGAGCACCGCCTTCTGCATTTGAGCCTGGAGCGGTTCACCACGTTGTCCCAGCTGCCTCAGATGACCCGAGAGGCTGACTAGGATTAGTCCGTTTGCAGAGACGACTACAGGAATAATTTCGGTCGGCAGACCACCCAACATTTCAGTCACCTCGTGAGCTAGGTCCAGATATTTTGTTTGCTATTCTGTTTCGGCTTTCACGAGGTTCTTGTCATACGGAATGGTAAGGTCGACCAAAAATATCCTTGACTGTGCCCGGTCCATCAGCACAATATCAGGCTTATTCGCAAGAATAGTCCTGTCTGTGATGATGGCCCGGTCCCAATAGAGCCTGGCGCGATCATTTTCGAGCACGGTTTCCGGCAAGTACTTGTGATACGGCAATTACCGATCCACGAGACCGTATTTCAGAGCGAGCTCCTGGTGAAGAATTCTGGCTACTAGGTTGTGCCTGTGCAAGTACTCAGAGTTAGAAAGCGCCGAACAACCGGAGATGACATGCCTAAGTGACTCACCGGAATGGCGATAAGCTCGACAGATGTCCACGGTGCCATCCTTTAGGATGTATCTCCGATATAAATCAGAAGAGATCAACAAAGCGTAGCCAGTGGAGGGAGGCTACTGTGTCTACGAAAAGCTCATGTAGAGCCTTGTAGAACCTCCCGTGGAACTCCTTCTCCTTCCATACGGTCTCCCGGTCGGAAATGCTCTGCACTGCCGGGTCTTGCCAGTGTTCGTTGGCTAAGGATGGAGGGGTAAGTCCTTTATCACAAGAAATGACGTCCATAAAGAATGCATCATCAGATCTCGCCAGGAAATAATCACCGAGGCTGCACACTTTGTGATTATGCATGGTGAGCGCACTCAGAAAACCGCGCCCACCATGCTTTCGCGGCAAGTACAGCCTCATTACCGACGATCTCGGATGATGCATCCTATGGGACGTCATGGTAGTGCGGACTTTTCTATCCAGGACGTTAAGTTCAGTCTGGGTCCACCTGAGTATGTCTAAGATATACATGAAGACAGGCATGACCCAACCGTTATATACACGTGTTTTATTCACACCGGGTAAAAGGCTGTTAAGTACTTTGGTCAAGCGTGCATAAAACACGTCGCAAACTGACTGTTTCATACCAGCCTCATCGATACCGATGTTCTGTGACATACTCAGGTATCGGTATGTTTCAGCCTCACAATGGGTTCTTAAGTTGACGGGCATAGATAAGTCTATGCCCTCAGAGTTAGCAACCCTTCTCCTTTCAATATGGAGGACCGCATACTTATCCGTCCCCAGCTTCATTCCAATGGAATTGCTAAATTCACAAGTGATGTTTAGCAATTCCATAAGATGGGAGCGACTGGAGGCGAATAACTTGAGGTCATCCATATAGAAAAGGTGGGTCACTTTTTCCCTCCTTTCCGTAACTGAAATCCCCTGCCGGAGCCCTCCAGTAAGGTATTGAGAGGGTTCAGAGAGAGGCAGAACCAGATTGGACTCAGACAATCGCCCTGGATGATACCCCTTCTTATCCTTATGTGTACAAAGGATCGTACTCCACTGCCCCATACACTGCTCGAGGAAGTCTCTAACTGTACAGTCTATCTTGTACAGCTCGAGGACTCTTTTTAGCCATGTATGGGGCACCGAGTCGAATGCCTTTTTGTAGTCTATCCAAGCGGCGGAGAAGTTTCGACGGTTGCGTTTCACCACTTTGCCAATGACCGCGTCAATAAAGAGTGGTTCCTTGGTTCCACGACCACCGAACCGACATCCATTTTGAGCGCGCGACATCACCTGATTTGAGTCTAGGTGACGAGTGATTCTCGCGCTCAAAATGGATGTTAGTGTCTTGTATATGGTCCGTAGACACGTGATGGGGCGGTATTTGCTCGGGTCTGTGGTACCTTGGTCTTTAGGAACCAAATGGGTGATTCCAGTTTTGAAGAAGCTTAGGAGCGACTTCTGGTTGAGAGCCTCTTGAAACTGTCGGGCGAGCACAGTGTGACACACCACGAACCCCTTCAGCCAGTGGTGATGTAGCCCGTCTATTCCCGGACTTTTCCAGTTCGGGGCCCTACTGACCGCTTTAGCTACGTCATCCAGTGTTATAATAACGGGGTACATGGTCGTTATACTCGCACACTGACTCGCCACAACTTCCGTACAAGGGCCCTCGCTGTGGTTTACGGGCTCTGACCACAGGCCGCGCCAGAATGCTATAGTGTCGGCCTGATTCGGGGCAGGGCCCGTTCCAATTACCATTGGTCGCTCCAATGATTCATAGAGCCTCTTCTGATCACTCTGGAAGAGATGATTCTGGTTGAACCGTGTCGACCTCTCGGTATATCGCCGAATCCGCTTTCCCCAAGCAGCGATTCTCTGCTTCAGATCATCTATGCGCTCCGTCAGTTTTTGCGTTATATCCGGCTGGGACAAACTGACATTTGTCCCAGCAAACGCCATCCTGACGGTGCGCTCAATTGTTGACCTGTTATTACCTGATCTGTAGCATATCAGTCTGCCTATGAGAGCTCTAGCCTTTGCGATACGTTCCTCAATTCTTCTTCTCCATGCTGGGATAGCGCTACTTTGGTCAGAAGCGCGTCCAGACGTGGAAACCTTGGCGCCTATGATATGGCAGACTGCCAGCGCGGCGCCAAAAAGAATTGAGTCCGTCTCGCGAAGGTCCCGGCTGGCTTCCAAATAGGTCACCAGCATTGGGTTCAGAGCCCTCACGACAGCCCGATTCCGCTTGCTAAGGGCTATGCAGGGAAGTCGCGGTCGATTTTCGAGAGGCGTACTGCGCGTTTTCACAATCGCCTCTTCCAATGTACTCCTCATATGCTCTAATTCCAGTTCCTGGGCGACTGTTCCATCATCGTTTGAATCAACCACAACTGGGGTATCACGGCGGCATCCACGTTTGCAGGTTGCTCTACAGTTTGTGGCGCCGCATCCTCAGCCGTAACATTTTCATCCGATAAGGGAACAGCCTTATGTCGTAGCCGTTCGAGTTCGGTGACATCAAATATATTTGAGCGCAAGATATACCGAACTCGGTATGCCAGGTTTTGCTCTGTGACGGTTAAAGGTGGCTCCAGCTCAGCAAAAAGACGATGCATCCTAGCCCGATATGCCAAACATCCAGTTTCTTCCCCTTTTGCCCTAAAGTACGCCCTTGCTTGTGACCAACGCATGCGACGTGCTCCACCAGCGGCGGGTGCCACTTGCTGAGTCCGAGAAGACCCAGCCGACACATAGTATTCTGGTGGGGATGATGGATGAGGAGGGCTCTTAGATGACCGTGCAGCTCCTCGCGTTCGGCTGGCGGCCCGCATGCTGCCGCGTCCAGCGCCTGCTACAGACGCGCCCTGGCGACCCCCAGACAGCGGCCCTTTGCGCACTATCTTTTTATCCATCATATTATTATTATTTTTGGGGTATCTATACAATTTTCTCACCTGGTTGGGTTCTATAAATATATAATTATAAATTAAAATGAAAAGATAAATATACATAAATATCAATAAAATAAAATAAATAAGATACCAACCAGATGGGAGCCCTCGGCAGGGGAGACCAAACGGCCGAGGGTTAGGGGGAAAGGGAAAGAAACAGGCGGACGATCACGGGCGGGATGGAGGAGCACCGCCTTCTACATTTGAGCCCGGAGCAGTCCGCCATGTAGTCCCAGTCGCCTCAGATGACCCGAGAGGCTGACTGGGATTAGCCCATTTGCAGAGACGACTACAGGAATAATTTCGGTCGGCACACCACCCCACATGTCGGTCACCTCGTGAGCCAGGTCCAGATATTTTGTTCGTTTATCTGTTTCGGCTTTTACGAGGTTCTCGTCATACGGAATGGTAATGTCGACTAAAAATATCCTTGACTGTGCCTGGTCCATCAGCACAATATCAGGCTTATTCGCAAGAATAGTCCTGTCTGTGATGATGGCCCGGTCCCAATAGAGCCTGGCGCGGTCATTTTCGAACACGGCTTCCGGCAAGTACTTGTAATACGGCAATTTTCGGTCCACGAGACCGTATTTCAGAGCGAGCTCCTGGTGTAGAATTCTGGCTATACAGTGCCATCTTTTAGGATGTATCTCCGATAGTTGTTGGTCTTAACAACCTGATCCTGTATTGCACAGACAAAACCATCCGTTTCCCCGAAGAGGTCACCGAAACGTAGCCAGTTGAGGGAGGCGGCTGTATCTACGTGAGGCTCATGTAGAGCCCTGTAGTACCTCCCATGGAGCTCCTTCTCCTTCCATACGGTCTCCCGGTCGGAAATGCTCTGTACTGCCGGGTCTTGCCATTGCTCGTTGGCTAAGGATAGAGGGGTAAGTCCTTTATCACTAGAAATGACGTCATTATAGAATGGATCATCCGATCTCGCCAAGAAGTAATGACGGAGGCTGCACACTTCGCGATTATGCATGGTGAGCGCGCTCAGGAATCCACGCCCACCATGCTTTCGCGGCAAGTACAGCCTCATTACCGACGATTTCGGATGATGCATCCTATGGGACGTCATTGCAGTGCGGACTTTTTTATCCACGGCGTTAAGTTCAGTCTGACTCCACCTGAGTATGCCAAACGTATACATGAGAACAGGCAGGACCCAACCGTTATATGCACGTGTTTTATTCACACCGGACAAAAGGCTGTTATGCACTTTGGTCAAGCGTGCATAAAACACGTCGCAAACTGACTGTTTCATACCAGCCTCATCGATACCGATGTTCTGTGACATACCCAGGTATCGGTATGTTTCAGCCTCGGAAAGGGCCCTTAAGTTGACGGGCATAGATAAGTCCATGCCCTCAGAGTTAGCAACCCTTCCCCTTTTAACATGGAGGACCGCACACTTATCCGTCCCCAGCTTCATTCTAATAGAATTGCTAAATTCACAAGTGATGCTCCTGAAAGTCTATAATACATATATTAGTTTTATGTACGTAACGCTTATCTAAAGAAAATGTGGGTTATTAAATATACTTTGTTATTAAATCTTCACTACCGAATTTTAATAAAACCTGTGTTCGAATAACATGTGTTTGGAAACCCTTCGGACAAATGGCGACGTTCCCTACTTCAGACGGTTTATTGCCACAGATAACATCATAAGCGTGCGTTAAGGTTATGAGCTATGGCTGCTGTTCTCGAACCGTTATTTACGACGTGACCGCCGATCTACGATTACCGACCCCTTCGGTGCGTGTTAGCCCGTCCTTGTTTAGCGATTTTGCCATAAAAGTTTGTAATGTAGAATGTATGATATTATGATTTCTTATACTTACGCGAAAACATATACACATTGATTAAAGCTACTTTTACGGATTTTATCGCGTTTAATTTGAATTATTTTTAAATCCCGACGTTTCGCATTATGCTACCATTTATTCTTAACGATTTTAAGGGAGCTATAATTTGAATTGTCCTTGATTAATTTTAAATTAGTACTTTCATAACGACTGCTAAATTTTGAAAATCAAATAATCAAATCCATTCTTAGGATACTTATGTATGCATGCATGTGTAGCATTATTTACACTTTAAAATACTTGCAAATTAAAATTAACTTCGAATGATGGATAATGTAAATAAGATCTTCTATTAGGGATACCTAAAATTTTCTTTCGGGGATATCGCAAATTAAACATCTTTTGCGTGTGAAATAATTGCTAAAATTGCTTGTCAAATTTAGTACAGTGAATCCTCGGTAACCCTGCCACTGTCTAATCTGGCACCCCTGTAATTCGACATGCTTTTCTATTTATTATTTAATATGTTTTGACAATTTTCGCTAATGCATAACTGAACAAGTTATAACTTGTACGCACCACCACTATTATGCTCGACTAAAGTTATTGCATATTTTTTGTAAGTTTTAAAGCATTAATGACGTTAATTTTATAACAAAACATAAGCTCTCTATTGTGTTGTTTAATTTACTAAATTTGACATACATAATGAAGTATGATTTGTGCTTCAGAATACATAAATATAACATATAGAATATTATCATTGGATCGATAATTTGTCGGATTACTACTCTTTTGTAAAATTCCGGACTATAGTGGGTGTTAGACAGTACTCTATAATCCGACAAATTCGATAATCCTACACTGACCTGCAAAGTTTGTTGGATTACCGGGGGCCCACTGTAATTACAATAACCTACCTAATTTACAGTGTAAGATAGACACAGTTACTTTTTAGAAGACAATCAATGAAAAAAACTTCTTAGTTTACAAAATTTGTAAACATTATTTTTGGGTCGTTAAGAAATATTTTTGGGAAGTATTTTTATTAGACATTATTTGTATGACCGTATTATAATAAAATTTATAAAATATTAGTAATAAAATAGTGTATTAGTGATATAATTTTCATTTATTGCGCGCTGTTTTTCATGAAAAAAAAATTATTGATATCTGCAAATTCATAAATACATGTCAATTTTATAAAATTTAAATAATTGTATATTCAACATTACTTTCATCAATTTTATGTATATGAGAGTTAAAGTCACGAGTTCAGTGCTTATTCCCCATCCAAAAGTGCGTTAACTTGTCTTAGGAAGATTCACTTTAAAACAAGGTGGCTGACAATAGTTATATTAATATATTCAAGAATGCCAAAACCATGTCATGCAAGTTGGTGATAAGGAGTAAAATTACCAGTGCGAGGGTATTGATTCTGCATTCACAAGTCCGCCACCTGCTCAACGTATCGAATACGTGAAACTATTTATGATATACATGCCAGTTCCATCCATCCATCTAACAGTAAAATAGAACGACCGGAAGTGACTGTTTTGCCCGATACTGGTTTTTTGATGAACTAACTGATATTGGAGGTCTGCATGCAGGTGCTTTTTTATTGATTTAAAAATATAAACTTTGACAAGTTCAAAATATCTTCAACACTTAAAGCCTCGAACATACAACATAATGCGTTTTATTTTACAGTGTTAGTATTTTACCGGTATAAACTTTATCCCGAAATATATTGCTAAAAGCGTAGTAGCAACAGCGTTAACGGAAATAAAATTATGCAAAGGCTTGGATTTTATATGTATTAGAGTAACAGGGCCCTCTTGTGCTAGGATCCAATTGCGATAACTTTCTCATTTCCTTTACGTTGCGTAAGCGTGAGAATCGCAGCCTGTCCCGCCAAAAGTGACCCTATTGTATCGTTATTATTGTCAGTTAAGAAGTTATGTTCTGCTGTGTTCCATTTTGAAGGGTAAGGGATGTCGTATAATTGCAGGCTGTTTTATAACAGGCTGAGGGATCGACATCTGTGGAGTTCTTTGTTTGTGAATTCAACTTCACTTCAGATCGAATATTAGTCACTGCGGTCAGTGTCGATGGAGACTAGCCATCTGCGCAGCATTACAGTGCATACTGCACAAGCGTGTTCGCAAAGACATGTGCACTCTCTATTCCTTTAAATTTTTTTTAATTTCTTAGATATAAAGGTTTCTTCACAATGTTTTCCTTTATTATCGAGTACGTGATAAATCAACACTAGCGAATATAATCAATAATAATTTCATTTGTGCCTACGGGGATCAAAGCCGGGTTTCTCGCGTCCTGTGAAATTTTCTGCGAGCGCCTAGAACCTGAACTGCCACGATCTATACATATTAATTAAAAGTTTAATGTATCGGGTATGTATGTTTGTCTATGCACGATATATAAAATTGTACAAAAACTCCAACAAATGACATAACACCACGACAAATAAAGACAAATTCCGAACCGGAATTAGGTACGTGATGTTTGCGTATTGCGGTACAGGTATTACCTTTATAAAGGCTTATTGCTTTGCTTGTTTGCTTTGACTATCACCTTGTTACTTTTAGAGAGGTTTTTTTTCATTGTAGCTATTTGGACGCTGACTTTAACAATTACTACAATATATTATATGATACAACCCTTCTTAGTCTAGCTTGACGTAGACTTTTCAAACAATGTGCTAGCTGATATGCATTTCTTGAAAGACTTTGAATTAGTAGAACTAAAAACTAAACAGTTGGGTTTTTAATAATGTCAACAGCATTATTATCATTATCACCATTTGCCAGTAAAAATCACTGCTGTACAAAGGCCTCTTTTGTCGTAGAGATTTTTCATAATCGTCACGCTTGGCGAGAGGATTGACGATCGCAGCACCAGACGTCTCGCACCTGACGCTGCTGCCTTTAGCCGGTCTTGAAAAGCTATTCACACATGCGAGTGTCTCCAACAAAGATGAGCGTTCGCAGAACCGCTTAGTCTCACCCAAAATTTCGGAAGCCCTGCAAAAGACGATGCTACAAAAGTATTAAACTTTGACAGTTGGTTCTTTCCGGCAGACAGATCCCCGTCACTTCACGGTTACGAAATGGATATTAAACACATATT